GGGTAGTGTGAAGGTTGCTAGACCTCACTGGACTCCAGCCAGCCACTGCTGAGGCTTCCTGAAGGACCAGTCTTCCCACCTCCCTAGCAGCATCTCTTGGGAAATGCAAGCTGGCTGCATTTTCAAGATCTTGCTTGGTTAGCCTGTGGCTCTGCGCACCACCCCCCCACCCCCCCGCGCAAAAAACAACTCCTCTGTGCCACAGCGGTGAGCTCGGCCCCACGTGCTAACCCGGCTGCCGACAGCCCTACCCGGACGGTGACATTGAACTGTGCCAGCCCCAGCAGCTCCCAGCAGGAGATGGAGCAGTCACTTTGATTCACTTAGACTGGCTGATCACATCCATTTACTCACAAACACCAAAGAAAATTAAAAAAAAAAAAAAAACCCATTGGGGCATACCAGGCATCTTCAAAGCCTGTCTGTTGTCAGAAGGCTGCAGGCAGAAAGCTCTGATGGGAACCACTGTCCTCACTTTGTATCAACCATGACCCCTCTTTGCAATCACACACAGTGATGTTACAGAGAAGGAGAGGTGGGAGCAGCAATTGAAGATGAGGAAGATTGCTTACCTTGATTTATTCCTCCTGGGACCCGCAGGTGCTGCCACTCCATCATCACCAGGTGCCAAACAAGCCAGCAAATCTTGTTTCCCCAGGCTTAAACCACCTGCAAAAGTGTTTCTTTTCAGGATAGGCAGAAAACACAATCCTTCAGTCCTCTCTGGGGCAGGAGCCCAACACAGGTGTTTGGATCCCTTAACAGGAGAAGGAGAATCCATTTTTATACCCGAGCAAACACACACCGAGCTCTTCTGCCTCATAGAGGTGTTACCGAGGGTTTCCCTCCATGTCAGCTCGGGCCCAGCACAGATTAAGATGGAGGTAGCAGCTTAAGATGTTTTTAGCTGAGAAGCTCTGTGGATGCCAGTCAAGGATGAGATCATATAGATCATCTCCATAACACCCCAGGGCTGTGCCCATGCTGGAAGATGAAACCTCAGCCAACAGATTGATGACGTGAAGGGGCCCATCACCCTAAGTGTCCTCATCATGGCTGGATGCATCCCCCACCCAGCTGGCGTGACAAACTGCGGGCACTGCTTCTGGCGCTGCCCAACCTCTGGCACAGCCAGGACAAGGATTACCATTCCCTGGTGGGTCCAGGATGGTGGGACCCTGGTGGGTCAAGGTGGTCAAGGATGGTCAGGAATGACCGTTCACGAATGATGATGGTCAAGGGCAAGAGGGAGACATTGCCCAAACCACCATCACCACCACCGCCATAGTGGGCACCTGGGCACAGAGTCACCCTTCCCAGCCTCTGCTGCTCCCTCCCAAAATCCCTGAGTGCTACAACCCCTGTGGGAGCCCAGTGCCATTCTGAACCCCCCTATTCTCACCCCACAACACCTCCCACCCCATCATCCCCTGTGGTTCCCACCCTGGTTCATGCCCCCCAAAACCCATACGGGCAGTGCACAGACCCCCCAGCCTCCCCATCTCTTTGCAGATGCGCCAAGCTTCTGCTGAGACATGGGGCCACCATCAACCTGCCAAGTGAGGATGATGGGGAGACAGCTCTGCACGTGGCAGCCAGGCACTGCCTCTGTGACCATGCCTGCCTCTACCTGCGGCATGGGGCACATGTCGACACGCGCAGCTCACGGGAGGAGACGGCCCTCAGCATCCTCTGTGGGCAGGTGCCGGGTGCCGGCGAGGGCTGCCTGCAGCTTTGCCGGCTGCTGGCTGCCCACAGTGCCGATATTGAAGCCTGTGATGAGGTGCAGAGGAGCCCCTTGCACAAGGCATGCGGGGCCGCCAACACCGGCCTGGCATGCTTCCTCCTGCGGCATGGGGCCGACGTCAATGCCATCGACTACAACGGCGTCTCCCCGCTGGGCTGCGTGCTGCAGAGTGCTGCCTTCAAGAGAGAGCTGCGGCCCCACCTCACCGTCCAGCTGCTGCTCAACTATGGCTCCCAGAAGATATGGCCCCCTGCATTCATCAAGGTACCAACCCCAAAACAACCCCCATATATCCCCCCTCACACCCGGGATTTTGCAGTCGCAGTTGGGATGCTTTGGGAAATAAAAAGCCATAGGGTTGGGAGAGCCTCCTGGTCTGGGCAGGGAGAGGGGACCGTGGCATTGGGGTTGACGATGCTGCTGGGAATGATGGAAATGAAAACACCTGCATGCTGTGGCAACAGGGAAAAGCAAGCAGGGCGAAAGCAGGATGGAGCCAGCACAGGCATCTGGGGATGTCAGAGACAAGTGAGACCAGCTTGGTACATCAGACAGCAGCGCAGCCTTCTTACAGCTCTGCATTTCATTGATTTTACATCAAACAATAAAAAAAATATTATCCTGGTTTATCACACAAGGGCTGCACCCAGATGAAGAAGTGCCACAGCAAGGCAGGTCTTCCCACTGCTTCACAGATGCAGAAAGATCTCCAAACCCTGCTGAGACAAACCCTAGGCCTGCCTCATGCAGACACAGGACTATTCCAGCCTGGACCATGGTGGGGTGGGACAAGCCCCGGCTGTAGCACATGGATGCTCTCCTCCTCTGGGCCATGCATCTCTGTCTGAACCTCCTCACATTGCCCATGACTAGGTGCTGAAGTCCTGCGCAGCCGTGCTGGAAGTCATCGAAGTCCTCTTCAATTCCTATTCGCAAATCCCTGTCTCTGAGAAGTGGACTGAGGCAGTGCCAGAGGAGGTGTTCCAGGTGAGATGGCGCTGGTGGTTGGCAGGGATGGCTGAGACCTGAGGAGGAGGTTTTACCCACTGAGCCTTTTTTTTCCTGCCTAAACTTCATTTTGGGTGGGGCAAAAAAAAAATGGAATAGTCCTCGAAGCACTTCCGCACACCAAATTCGTCTCAGCAGCTTTGCATCCCTTTAGCTCCATCAACACCCAAACCCCCCTTCCCACCCCTGGCCCACAACAAAATACAATCCCAGCATATGGAAGTGACCCTGGAACCAGACTGCTGCCTGGCAGGAACCCATGCTACTGATTTTGGTTTTAAAAAGCTTGTCCCCAGATGCTCAACAGGTATGGCCAGCCTGCTCTTGAATGATCTCCAACAGCTGCCTTGCCCCCCGCAGCTCTTTCATCAGCTTGGCTATGAGGGGGACCGGCTGCTGAAATGCAGATAAAGCTCTTCAGGGGATGGGATAAATTAGTTTTATTCCAAGCTAAGGAAAGGCTGAGGCTGCCCAGACCTCGATCCTGCTTTATTTCCCCATCTTAGAAACAAGCAGGTCTCTTCTACCTCAGCTCTAAGGCTTTCTGCTGGGCTGCTGCTTCCAGTGGACGTGAAAGCATCCTCCCCAAACAACACCTGCAGTGAATCTGGGCTTCTTCACGTGCACACCCACAGGAGAATTACTTATCCAGCCTTTGCTTGCAGGAACTCCTTCAAGTGCACAGACCCCTAACCCACCAGCAAACATCACCAATGGGTTTCTTACCTCCTTCCATTAGATCTTCATCTCAGAAGTATTTCTAGCTTGTTTGGCTTAATCAGGGGAAAAAAAAAAAAAAAAAACACACCAACTGATGCTCCTGGTTCATCCCCTCCCTCTTTCTTTGCAGCAGCACCAGTTATTCTACGAGTCCTTTTTCCGGCTGATGGGCACAGTCCGGTGCCTGCAGCACTTATGCCGCTCTGCCATTCGGAAGAAGTTTGGCAGCAAATGCCATTGCCTTATCCTCTTGCTGCCTGTGCCCAAGCCTTTGCACGATTACCTGCTGCTGGAGTCCGAAGGAGTTGTGCTTTGAGGTGGCCCAGAAGAGCCTGCCAAGGTCTGAGTCCAGCCCTCCCTTACCTCGTCCTCCCTCAGCGTAGCACAGCAGCATCCATTTCTGTCAGCTAAGTGAAGGAGTGCTGGTTTTCATAATAGATGTTTGCTTTTCAGGGATTCATAATGTAACTAAAATGTGCTTTCGGCTGTAACTTTGTATAGATTTTTTCCTAATTGTGCTTTAAATAGATTATAAAGAGTAATAAAATGATTAGTAGCTGTTACAAGCATGCCACAGATATGAATAATACTCATTATAAAGGATCTCTGCAAAGCAGTGGGCCTCCTCAGGTGTGCAAAGGCAAAAGTCAGCCCATGTGGGCATCAGATCCCTTTGGATAGAACTCCCCCACGAGTGGCACAAGCAGAACTGAGACCAGAGGTGCAGCGTGGAAGCCGTTAGCAGGATGCAATATCCAGTGGTGTTAACATAAGATGGTAAAATAGACCACAAATCTATTTTTTTTATGTAGATGCCACCAAGAAAGAGCTGGTTACTCCGCACAGGACCAGAGGCAGGGAGGTGGCACAGCCCCCTCTTTCTCCTGGCCTCCCCATGGTCCAAGGGATGTACCAGCACCTCCCGTGCCCATTGCTGCTCCCAAGCTGGCATGTGGAGGGGCCAGAAAGCCCAGCAGTGGACCAAAGTGAAAGAGTTTGGGCTTCCATTACACCTGTGACTTGGCAAAACATACCAGGAAGAGGGAGGATTTGTTTGCCCAGATACTCAGGCTCCTCAAATTAATTTCTATTGAACCAAAGCAAGAGCACGCATGTGCCCCTTGGAAGAACAGCTGGCCTCATGCTCGCAGCTCTGCCACAGAGCTCGACAAATCATTTCGCTGCTTAATTACACTCACTATTAAAAAAAAAAAAAAATTTATATATATATATATAAAAATAAATCAGCC